TATTCATGAAACTTTTTTTGTTCATAAGTTTTTTATAAACAATGAGCGACGGATAAAACCTTCATATTATTATTCAGGGAGGTGACCTTGATAACATATGTCAAAATTGTTGAGATCGGAAAATAGTCCGTATAACTGCATAATTACCGTATGCAATGTTGTTGAGATAAAATAGTTAGTAAAATTTTAAATAGTTATTTTAAATAATTAAAATTATCTCAGATAAAAATTATCTTTAATAATTGTTTTCGCGCGCGCGAGTAATTAGTGATAGTTATATTAAAAAACATATTTAAAAAAATATTAAAAAACGATGCAAGTAACGTATATTCGATTTTGTTATATTTTACTGCTTTTTAACGAATTTTGCAACACACGCAAGCTGTGACGTATAATTTACGCAACGTGATTGTATGAAAAAGCAATAACGCACACTCGAACCTAACACAGCGAAGGTAACGTATCGAAACCGATAGATATTACTAGAGATATCACTTATCTCTCTATCGTTGATACTAAACAAAAGACAATATTATACTGTATCGCAAAAAATCGACATGTGACAAGTTCAAGAATTTTGCACCGCGGTTGTAATGCGCGCTTTGAGATTTACATTATAAAAAAAAAAAAAAAAAATTAAACATTGTTTTTCTTCGCGCAAAGACTATTGCCTCTATTGATTTAATTAAAAATTGAAATTCTTCAACTTTCATTAAAACAAGTTCAATTCAATCCGTAATTAAATTTTTCCGGTTCAGAGAAAACATGATAAAAAAAACGTGCTTTCTGAGTATAAAAGTAAAGTTGGGAGTAAAATGAAATTATGATCAATATTCGCGCGGAATAAAAATTCTTTAACACGTCGTCGCGAACAAGCTTCGAACAATTAAAACAAAATTAACGCGAGTGAACGTCATTACAATCATATCAGCAGTTTGCAAAAATAATATTTTTAATTGAATCGTCTTTGAAAGAGCTCTTGAACGCTCTCTTTTTCACTGATAACAGCTATTCTGGAGTTTCTCCCAACTCTCTGATTATTTCTCCGCCCAGTTCTCTCGCACATTTCACCGTCTTAAAAAAAAACTATATATATATATATATATTTGACGAATCTTATTCAATCGCGGAAGCAACGCTCGTTATTGCGCGTAGCGGTGATGATGTTCTTTCTCGAGCAGATGTTCTTCCCTGACGATTATCGCTTGTACACGAGATTTTTTCAGCTTGCTTGATAAGGCGTCGTCGAGCGTCGTCATTCGTTTTCCGTGTCTTGCGAACACTACACGTATAAATTGCGGCAACCAAAATCACGACAAACGTTCAATCGCGAAGATGCTCGGGCCGCGTGTTCTCCACAGTCTTTTGTTAACGACCGCGTTGACTTCGGCCGTGATTCTCGATCGGGGATGGTGGAACCACACGGTTTTTTATCAAATTTATCCCCGCAGTTTTATGGATTCTAACGATGACGGCACAGGTGATCTTCAAGGTAAGAGAGAGAGAGAGAGAAAGAAAGAGAAAGAGAGAGAGAAAAGAAAAGAGAAAAAAAACTATAAAGCTCAAGATGAACGTTCTTGGATTTACGTGTGTCTTGCGTCATGTCTTCCTTCGCGGAACGATTTTCGCGATAAGTATCAAGAAAAAAAATGACACCGTGACGCTCCTCGTCGTAATTGCACTTTGTTTACTTTAAGATAGAACAAATTTTGTAATAAAAAAACGTCAGATCGCGCCTGTCATTACGTCGACACTTTGCAACTTTTAATACACAACTAACAAAGCGTATTTAACATACTGTAATTCTATCGTAACGCGATGTTGCAGAGAAAGTTTTTTTAAATTGTTTCTAATTGTCTCAATAGCGAAACTACTCGAGCTTTTAATCAACGCGCGATATTAAAATTTCTACCGAAGTCTTCTACCGAATTATCGTTCCTTTTTATTTATTGAAAAAAAAAAAAAAAAAAAAAACAGGTATAACGAGCAACCTGGAATATTTCGTGAACTCTTCAGTGGGGGCGATATGGCTGTCATCAATCAACAGAAGTCCTATGATCGACTTCGGATATGACATTTCGGATTTCAAGGACATCGACAAAACGTTCGGCAGCATAGCAGATTTCGAAAACCTCTTGGCGCGCGCGAAGAAACTCGGAATAAAGGTGTGGTTGCAAAAAGCAACGCGTGTTGCTTCGTCTTCGACAATTTTTCAAAGGTTTTTAATCGCGTATATCGATAAAAAAAAATTGTCCGCTCTAAACAACAATTTTCTCTTCTCCTCTTCTTAGGTTATTCTCGATCTTGTGCCGAATCACACATCCGACGAGCATCATTGGTTCAATCAGAGTGTGAACAGCCAGGGCAAATACGCGGATTATTACATATGGAGAGACGGAAGAGACGAGAACAATACAATACCGCCGAACAATTGGTTGAGTGTGTTTGGCGGATCGGCTTGGACATACAACAAGATCCGTAACCAGTGGTACTTGCATCAATTTCACGAAAGACAGCCGGATCTGAACTACAATAATTCCGAAGTGCGAGAAGAGATGAAGGTACGACTATAATCGTACCCTAACTGCGAACAAAGAATTACACACATTAAATCAGTGACAATTTCGCATCGTGTTCTTGGCGTGTCGATGCAGGAAATCATCGAATATTGGCTGATGAAAGGAGTGGACGGATTTCGCGTGAACGCTGTGCCACATCTCTTCGAAGTGAACTACGAGTGGGACGAGCCCAGAAGCAATTTAAAAGGAGTGCCGAAAACCGATTACAATTATTTAGTTCACACTTTAACAAAAGATCAGCCGCAAACTTACGAGCTGGTGATGAGTTGGAGACAAATTTTGGACAATTTCGCAGATGTACATTCTACCAGCGAGAAGGTATGATTCGCTGCTATCTACGCGTGTTTTTGCCGAACGTGGTTAACACTTATCCGAAAACAGCTCGCTGAAAGTTGTTTATCCGACCGGGAGCCTATTAATCGGCTGTTAAACTAATTGCTAGAGACGAGCGCACTAGTTTATTCTAATAGCGATGTGTTAGAATAAACCGGTCGGCCAAGTGTTGCGATTAATCGAGACTGCAATTATCCACTTGTATGTTTGTTACTTTTTTTATGTGACAGAACTATATAATTACATAATTCTAATTTTTTCAATAAAAACGAAAGGTGATGATGACTGAAGGGTACACTTCGTTAGAGAACACCACTAAATACTACCGCTACGGTTCCAACATTCCTTTTAACTTCAATTTTATCATGGACGTGAACGCCGACTCGAATGCCATCGCGTTCAAAAAAGTGATAGACGATTGGATGGGCGCGATGCCGAAACATGGCGTTCCCAACTGGGTGGTAAGAGAATTTTTATTTCTATGTTTTCTTTTTTGTATATATTACGTAAAAAAAGATATACGATAGAGTTTTTAATCTTGATAACTATAGTAGATTGGGACGCGAGCACACATTTTAGAAAATCAATATCCGTTATATAAAGCCGTCAATTTCTCTACCAATAGAAAACCGCTATGCTAACTTTCCACGTCGTTACATCATTTGTAATTACAACGTATGATTAAAACACCATATAATAAATAATTCATAAATGCGCGTTCAAATGTTTACACGCCACTTTGTTAATTTTATACGCGGCGCGCGTATAATTAAAACCGTCTGAGAGAATTAACCGACGACGTCAAACGCGCGTTTTCGTTGGGCTGAAAATCTCTCAAACACCATTTCACAAAAAAAAAAAAAAGCGATAATTCCACGTAATAATATGGTAATCAATACACACACGTTATATGAACCGATTTAACGTAATGGAACGCAAATTTACGCGATTGCGGTAACCTTACACGAGAGCGCGCGTTAATTAGCATCCACATATTTTGCCGTATATCATCGATAACGCAAAATGCGCGCCGCCGTTTTAACGTTGGTTGCCGAGAGAAATCCGCACGCACAAACGTACGAATTATCCTAGATGGGAAATCACGATCGCAGTCGTACGGCTTCGCGTTTTCCCGGAAGAGCCGATCAGATGACCATGCTGGCCATGATATTGCCGGGCGTGGCGGTGACGTATTACGGCGAGGAAATCGGAATGGTTGACAAAACGGACATAAGTTGGGAAGATACGAAGGATCCCCAGGGTTGCATGGCGGGAATCGAGAGATATCAAAATCGATCCCGCGATCCGGCCCGCACACCGTTTCAGTGGAACTTTGATCTTAACGCAGGTACGAAGTTACGACGATTCACACATGCGTTTTTTCGCTCGAGCAATCCTTGAACAGTCAGCAGTCCTTTCTGCTGCAAGTTTCCAAATTACACACATAAAAAAAAAAAAAAGATAAAAAAATCTCGATGTTTTAGCACCGAAAAAAGAACTTGCACAAAAAATTCATAACGCCAGTTTGACAAAAAAACGTATCGAAATTCCACGATTCATCCGATATATATGTCGTTCTATAATTGTATTGACAGGTTTCAGTAAGGCCAATAAGACTTGGTTACCGATTCACGCCGATTATCCCAGAATAAATTTACTGGTACAAAAACATGTAAACGAGTCTCATTACAAAGTTTATCGCGCTCTGACGGCGTTGCGCAACACGTCAAACGCGCTAAAAATCGGATCGTTGACCACCGACGTAATAAACAAAACCGTTCTGTGTGTTCTGCGAAAGTCGAGCGACGAAGCTGTGACGTTACTGATCAACTTTTCGAACAACAACAACCAAACGGTTAATTTACGCAGAAATTTAACGGAATACAACATCAACAAGATCAAAGTAGCGAGCGTGGATTCCAAATTGAAACAAAAGTGAGTAAGAAATATTTGAAATATCTTTTATCAAGAATATCAAGTGTGTAATAACGCGTCGATGCGGATGATTTGTTTCAAAAACTGATCGAAGTCTTTTTACTTCTGTTCCAGCCAAATCGTTCAATTGGATCATTTTACTATTCCACCGAACGCTTCAGTGATTGTCACGAGTTTCAAAACCGCATTCAACGCCGCGCGAGAATTCGTCGCTTCTCTCGCGACAATTTTACTATCAATGTTCGTTTTGCTGACTTTGCACAAGTAAAAAGAGACAATTATAGAAGTAATAAATTAACGAGGAACTCACTCGCGCGTTTATAAGTACGATATTACGACGAGAAAATTTACTTTAACTGCAGACAGTGTCGCTTGACTTTATTAAATTACGATTATATTAACGAAATGTTAAATTCTCCGCCTTTATACAAACAACTGCACTGCACCGACACAACGCGCAGGGGGGTTGCAGAGAAACACGAAACATTTATAAGCGCTCGATGCGCGGCGCGTAACATCGTTGTCATAAAATAATCATTCGCTCTAACGAACACATCGAAAATGTCAAAAGTTTCCCTGATTCTCTCTCTCTCTTTCTCTCTATCTCTCTCTCTTTCTCTTACGACTCGGCAAACAATTGTAATTTTCGTTCTTTTCTGTTCTCGTGTACCTACTCGGGAAAAAACATATTTGAACTCAATGTTTATCCGGTGTTCTCGGGAATCGATAAATCGTTTTTACGTGATGCGAAACGCAAAAAACCGAAGAACCTATTTCCCGCGTCTAATCCTCCCGTGAGATAAAAAAATATCTGCGTACGTGAGAAATTTTTCGCGGAAAGAACCACCGACAATCGGAGATCAAATGGAGCAGAGATGAGGTTCGGCGAAATAATCTGTCGAGAGAGACCCGCATTTTCTCTCTCTCTTTCTATCTATCTATCTATCTCTCTCTGTCTCTCTCTCTCTCTGAGACCATCATATTTTATTCCTTCGATCTAATTCTTTCCTTCGCGTTTATTCTCGTCTTTGCGCTTTCGCAACAATACCTGAATTCGATTTAGTCCCGATCCTTCTCGAGAGAAATGTGTGTTCTGTTATTTCGATTCTGTTATTTCTGAGGCAGCCCCGTTCGACGATTTTTTAAACAGCTATTGCGAGTATAAACTCAAGAATAAACATCGCGTATTTCGGTATTACACATGTTACGCGGAACAATGTAACAATAAATTATAAACTAATCACACATGTAAAATCTGCTATAAATTCTATGCAATAAAATACAAATAAAAAATATTTTATGTTAACAAAAACAATATATATATATATATGTAATGTCTTTTTCTATATATATGTAATGTCTTTTAATCCATAATATATAACCGCATTCCGCGGAATATTCCAACATCTTCCTCGTATTTTATAGAAAAGATCACAAGTTTTCACAAGCGTAAAGTTACGCTCTCCCCAAGCTGGTGCTGTGTATATCCCGACTTCGATATTAAAATATTCCTGCGGTATTTTAGACCTAATAACCGAGAATGTATTTATCGAGGAAAACGTTTCGTTATTCGTTAAAACCATCACGGAGGGAAAAAAAATCCCGCGCGAAGTAAAAGAACAAGTTCACGTCGGATAAAAATCCAAAGCATGTGGAAGCGTTGCGCGTGCGAGAAGCATTATTTAATATAAAAAAAAAAAGAGAGAGAGAGAGAGAAAGGTATGAAATTCATGAAAGAATTTTCGTTCACGCGAAAAAAATAATATACAATCTTTTTCCCGTCGCGATCTTTTATATCTTTCCCTTCTTGGTTCATTTTTGTAGTTTCGAGCACAGATATCGGTTACGATATCGTAAAAATAAAAAAGCTCCATATTGTAATCCGACGTTTTCATATATATATATATATATATATATATATATATACACACACACACACACACACATTGGGATACTGCCTGAGTCTTCTCCTTGAATAAATTTGCAAAACTCGCAACAGACAAATATAATCGCGATTGGCACGGACAATAACCGCTTATCGAATATAGAGTCGTCACTCCGTGCCGTCCGGTTCTTCAAGTTGCACTCGCGCGCAAAGCATGAATTATGCATTTTTGCCGGCAATATCCGATATTATACTCTCTCTCTCTCTCTCTTTCTTTCTTCGACGAAGACGTTTTCTCTAGCGCGCCCGACCTATCGGACGGCGGGAAAATGATTTATCGTTCCCGCGATCTCTCCGGCATAAACTTACGAACTTTTGTCGTGACTGAGTAATCGTCGCCGCCAATAAAAAAAAAAAAAAAAGATGCAACACGCGCGAATGATTCTGGCTAATAAATCTCTGAAACAATTCTTTTCTTGTGTTTGTTTATTTTTCTCTTCACGTTATTCTCTTCGCTTTATTTTCCATGATATACCCATATCGATACAGGTGTATATCTATCGTTCTCTTATAATCTTTGATAAAATTTTCTTTGTTTACATTAAAAGCACCGAAGTGCTTATCGACGACACGTGCGCGATAACGAGAAAATATACAAATAATTTCGGAGAAAATTACGCGTCCAAAATTCACGTCAAAATTTAATGCGCGGAACGTGAAGAATATTTTTGTGAGCATATAACTTTTGTAAAACAGAGACGCTGAGAACGTAAGTACGTTGTGTAGCGTATAAAAGATTTTTCGCGTAATTTTCAAACTAGGACTCTGCAAACGTCGATCGGTGTCGTCAAATCGCCTTAAACTTCTCGACGATACCGCACGTTTCGCGTAATAAGCGCCACGTACAAAGGAGTATTTGGAATTCTCCGTAACCCGATAAAGAGAAGTTTGTTAAGCAGGCATATCGCGTCTCTGGAAAGTTGGCAGAAAGACCTACACATATAAACGTACACCCTATACCCGGTGTATTTCCTCAACGCGTCACAAGCAGACGAACCATATTATCCCCACCGACGCCAAATTTCTACGTCAAAATGTCACTTCTCCCCACTATCAGCGATAAATCGTCGGACGACGCGCTGAAGGACATCCGCTCGTTTAATCACCCGATTTCCGAGAGTCGATCAAGTCCGCTGTGAGAACGAGTGTCGTCAAGCTCGCGAATGAAGCGAGCGTTCTCTAACATACACACACAACGTGAGTTTGCTGTGTGTTATATTCCATTTCAATTTTACGTCTCGGAACACGCGCGAAAATATATTGCGTTCAAACAATCCCACGTACGTGCGAACTTAGTCTGGGGAACAATTTTTCTTAATTATCACCGAAACACATTTGCGTTTGTGTAAAACAAAATATACTGTGAAGAATTTTTTCTCTTGCAAAGTGTAACAATATGTACACAACACTTAGCGCGACGTTATTGATTTTTCGATGATGTGTCAAGATAATCACGTGTTATACCTATATGTAAAAAAATTATTATTTTTCTTGCAAATAAATATGTAACTAAAAACTAACACTATTTTAACATGTGAATTATTTTTCTTGTCTTATCTTATCCTATATTAAAAAAGGCATTTGGACCGAGAAGTGCGCGTTTGGAGTCGAATAAATCGCACCTATTATTGCCTCTTTTCCGCGATGCCGATTGATTGGTTGATTGATCGAGTCGAATCGAATCGGTAAGATCGAGAGAGTAAATAATAAAAGCGATTTTGAGACAGTTGGTCGTAAACTGTAATTTATATATAACATTAAATAATACATATTATACATATAATTTATTATATATTTATAATATTATACTTTATATTGTATTATATGTATTATATACATACTACAGTAATGTCACTGACTTCCACCGCGCGACCTTGGCGGAGTCACTGACCTCGGCCGCGCGGCCTTGGCGGAGTCACTGACCTCGGCCGCGCGGCCTTGGCGGAGTCACTGACCTCGGCCGCACGGCCTTGGCGGGGTCATTGACCTCGGCCGCGCGGCCTTGGCGGAGTCACTGACCTCGGGCGCGCGGCCTTGGTGAGGTCAATGACCTCGGTCGCGCGACTGCGGTGGAGTCACTTACCTCGGCCGCGCGACCGCGGCGGTGTTACTGACTTCGGTCACGTGATTACGGTATATATATACACATGTATGCGTATGTGTGTGTATTATATATAGATATAGAATATTACATATAATATATATAATATTCTCTTTTTTATTCTTTTCTCTGTCACGTGACTTTAGTCACGTGTTGTTTTTCCACTTTTCTCTCTCATTAGTTTTTGATTTTAATTTTCATGCGTTATTTCTGACATCTCTCTAATGTGTATTATATGGTTTGGAAAACGTATATACTAGCTGTCATAGCGGTGACAAATTGTGTTTACTGACACAACACGGTAAAATAAAAACAACAATAGCGTGCGCGTAGCGCGCGCTTGTGTTTTAGTAAATAAAAAACGTATTAACATATATGTAACACTAAGAAATAAAACACATCTTTAAGGTGTGAAATAAAGTTGTACTTAGCCGCGAGTTTGAATTTCACACGGCGTTAAAAATTAAGCAAGTTCTAAAATAATTCTTATTTCTGAGTGCGTATCGAACAAATCTTCGTCATATTTCATTTTCATAAGCTGCATAACCTCTCTCTACTGTTAATTTTCTAAGTGTATTACAAGCGGAATTTCAAGGTTCTATGAAGTTTACGTACTGTGTCCTCTGACATTTTTACTCTGCGCTATTTTATACAGAAATCTCACGACGCTGACTTTTAACGTTGAATCTAAATCATCTATCCGACCTTTTGAAATAAAATTGTTTGTCGTACTTTTTTCTTCGATAACATTTGCGTGTACCGTCTCCGTTAACGACATCAGCCAATTAAAGTGCACCGAATTGAAGTTTCGCCAGCGAGTTTCAAGAAGTTTCGTTCAAAAGAACGAAAAACACAAAGTTGACTTCGCGCACGGCATTTATTTTCTTTTTTCATATTTACGGTACAAAATACGCGTATATTTTACATGCCGATGAGAAAGTTTCGTCGTATAAGCGGTTGTTTTTTACGTTCGTCACGATACTGGAACATGTTTTTGGATGAATATAACAACCAGCTGCGTACAACTGCAGTGTATCATTCAGATAAAAGTTAAACCAGGGAAAGTTTAAATGCCGAGGATCAATTGCAATGAAGCACCAATTAGTTTCGATACCACGGAAAAAAAAGAAAATCGACATTTTGACGAAACCAACGTAACCGAACGATGTATAATAACATTTTTCAAGTTTCTCTCTCTCTCTCTCTCTCTCTCTTTTATTTTCTGCGAATTAAAAAATAATATATAGTTCTATGTAATTATACACAAAAGTCAAGCTACAATTTCAACACAAACAAAATAAAATATTGCACAAAAATATATGCTAACAATTTAGAAAAAGTGTGCGTGAAGCGTATTATTTTGTGGAAATGTTACATTTACAAAATTGAGAGTTCTCGCTTTATTTCCCCAGTTCCTGATTTTGTTTAAACAAATAGTTCTGATCATTAAAGCAAAAAATCCGCTTCGAACAGTGAAACGCAACGTGTCTCACGCGATCATTCATCCAAGTACCGACCGTATTCAATGATTGTTTGACTTCAGTGATTAATCAACAACGGTACATTAAAACGTGATATGACCGCGTTGCCAAACATCATCCCTTTAATAATTTATTTTCTTACTTCACCAGC